GCACTGATCGCCCCAGGAGTTGATGCATAAAATTGCCGCGCTTCGGATCCAGTTTTTGGAATCTCCAAGGCAGTGAACGAATCCTGGGAAGAGAACACGAACATGTTGCTTTATTGGAGGGCCCATTGCGCTCGCTAAAGCCTCGCAAATTCCTAGTGCAGTCTGTGCTATTTTTGTATTACTGTCAACTAGCCTTGACGACAATGCTCGAGGCAGTTCTCCAATAGATCCTTTGATAAATTTAGCATCTGTAATCATGGCTTGGACTTTGATGAGTCCTTCGTTACGTACTTTCCAATTCTTATCACCCAGCTCGGCCAACAGCGCTTCTGTGATCTGGTTGCTGATATCTACCCTCGGAATCAAATCATTTATGTCCACAGTCTCTGCAACGTAATTTTCTTCTTCTTCTTCCTCTGCATCGTCGGCAACTTTCTTGTCTCGCGATTTGGGACCTCGCGTGGGTTCAGGAGGTCGTTCTCCATCATGTTTCTCACACTCCTGCTCGATCTGCTGCTTCAATGCCGGTTTTTCACCGTCGAAAAAGGTCAGAAGTGGCTTGCCAACATACAAGTACAAAGTACCGATCAATGATATCGCCGCAGTGCGTACTCCGGGATTTGTTGCAGCCACGGCTTTCTTAATGCTCTCAATCACCGACTTGACGTTTAACGTACAGCTGAATTCTAACAAGGCGTTTGACAACCACACTAACGACTCTTGCTGTACTTTTGGGCTCTTCTGGTTAAACGCGAAAGTCACAACTTCATTGGCCACATGCTCGAAAGACGTCGCTTCAGCGATTGCTAGCAAAGTTTCTGCTGCTGTAGATCCATTTTTAGCATCTCCTAACTTTTCAGCAATGTCCATTATGCAATAGTTTGCAGCTGTGATCGAAAATGTGTAGTTTTCAGCGAGCATTTTTACGACCTCGAGACGCTGCTTCAATACCTAGAAACATTAAATATTAATTAATATTTTTTTATACTTAGTGTAGGTATTAGAGAACTTTTATTATTATTAAAAGACAGTAATAGTCACCATTTTATGTTGAAAATATTATTTTAAAAATTTTAATTTTTTTTTTATACTTATAAAAAATATTTTTACATAACTTTATATTTCATGTTTTTTAATTAATAATAACTATACAATTACAAATAAAAATCTACACTAATATAGATTAGTAAAAATTTTTGATTTGTTTCTAAATGATAATTTTGAAAAAAAATAAAAAAAAAAAAAAAATATTTTAAATAATTGTACTAATAAAAATTTTTTACAAGTTGTTATTGTTTAATGATAATTATTTATATTAATAAATTTGGATATATTTAATAAAAACTAATTAAAAACTGGATTAATGTTTTTTAATACACGATAGTTTAATCATTAAAAATGAAAGATAGCCGTCATTACCATAAAACTTCTGAGCGTGTATGAATTTAAAATCTAATAACTTTAAAAAAAAAAATCCTTTATACCTGGAAATTAGTATCCTTGAATCCAGGTTTCTTGGCAAGTATCCGAACGATAACCTGGCACGGAACATCAGAACTCATTTGCTTGATCGTCTCATTAAGCTGTTCGACTGCAGCCAAACGGGACTTCCAATTAGCGTCAACTAATCCCGACAAAATATCTCCTGTCAAGCATTCACCCGCTATGTCATCAACCGATTCCGCGCTCAAATCTTTTTCAATTTGTGTTTTTGGCGCAACAGTTTTCTTTCCACTAGCAGCAGGTTTTTTCAAAGTAGGTTTTTTATAGGTATTGCTATTACTAACAGAAGCAGCAGGTTTCTTGGCATTGATTTTGGCCGGTGGTTTGGACTCAACTTTAGCCGGTGCAGTTGTAGGTCTCTCTGTCTTCTTTGGCGCAACCACTTTGACAAGTATCACAGCTTTCTCAGCACACTCTTGGATCTTGGCCATCTTGAGCGCGTCAAGATCCGTCAGGAAAGGCATCATAGCTTTCTCACCGACGAGTTTCATCGCAGTACCAAGCGCCTCTGCGGAATTGTCTCGCACGGTAGGGTCCGGTTCGTTCAAAGTTTTGAGCAACGCGCCGATATAAGCCTTTAGTAATTTCTTGTTAAAAGTTGCAGGCAGTGTGTGCGCGAAACAACGAGCTAAAAATGCAGCAGTTTCAGCTTTCACTGACGGATTTTTGTTGTCCAAAGCAGCTAGCGCGTCCTCAAGAATTACATCCACGGTGATGCTCTGGAATACTGCGTCAGCCGCTTCACGAAGTACTGCCACCACGTGTGGCTTCTTTTCACGGAATTTCTCCAAGACTACTGGCAAGCATGCAGTGGCGTAAGGATGGAACCGCTTTTTCAGTCCATTGGCAAGTCCTGTTAGACATTTTCCAGCGATTGTAACGACAACAACATTAGAGTCTTTAGCGATTATTTTCTTTAACGCCCTAATAACGTCTCCGTAGTCTCCACTCTCGAGTTTGGGGTTTTTGCACAGAGTTTCAAGAGCTTCAAGCGCTTCTTTACGCTCCTGCCACTTTTTGGCCTCGAGTTTGTCGTAGAAATCCTTTGGAAGCTTGGAAAGGATGTCCACGGGGTCAATAAGCTCGTAAGGATCGATGTCTTCAGCAGCTTCCTCTTCACCGGCTTCATCATCATCGGCGTCATCCCCTTCAGCAGCTACGGATTCAGCAATTACATTTTTCGGCTTCTGTGACCGCAAGTAACGACTGGGATGTGCTTTGGCACCATCAAGCTTGCCGAACTCGACTTCTAGCTCAGACATTTGCACAGGCTTCAAAGTGTTGAGCTGCTGCTTTATTGGAACCCCAATCCACCGGTAAATTTCAATAACCATTGCTTTACCTTCCTCACGAACGATCTTATCACGGTCTTCTAAGAAGCCAGGCATCTTTTTTATCAGTGGTTTTATGTTTATTACTTTAGACCCAAACTCGCGAAGCGAAAGAGTTAAAGTGTTGATGCAGCCTGCGACTATTTTTGGATTTTTAGCCTCAGTCCCTTTCAGAAGCTCCTCTTGTACTGTCTCATGCTTCTCTATCTCAATGTACATCAGGGTTATTTGTACTGCTAAGTCTTTTGTTTTGGCTTTTGGAGCTGCTATACATTTATTTACTATCCCGCTCATTACTTCACCAACAGTCCTAATTAAAAATAAATTAATAAATTATAAATATTCAACCGAAATAAATAAGTATTAAATTATTTTTTTTTTTTTTTTTTTATTATAAATCAATAATTGAAGGGTAAAACTAGATAATACTAGAATCGACAAACATCTGAAAATTATTCTAAAAATCATTGTGTTTAGTTTCATTTTGATTCAAGTTTTTTTTTTTTTATTATTAAACAAAACTTACTTTCCAGCGCAAGCAGCATTCTCAACAAAAGCCAACGCTGCTTCCAATCCCTTTTCCTGAGCAGCAACATTGCTGTCAACCACAAACTTCTTGATCAACCCCAAGAACTTGTTCCACTCGGGAGATTTCTCGTCGTCAATACACCCGAATTTCTTCGTACATTCTTCATATCCATGAACTCTCGCCTTCCATGACTGAAAATCACAAAAAATATAATAAAATACTTTTAATAAATAATCAAACTACAATTATAAAATTATAATGATAAAATACCTTATGCACACATCTGTCTTCAACTGGCAGCTTAGTAAATTCAGTTTCTTCCTCCATGATTTTTTTTATTGTTCCTAGACAAACAAAATTTACCAGATAAATAATTTATTGTGACCAAGGACTTTAATATCAATAATAATAATTATTATTATTATTATTATTATTATTATGATCTGAGATTTAAAAAGGAATTATGTCATGAAATTTATTTATAAATGAAATATTGATAACATCCTACAGTCTATATTCTACAAGGAGAACGTATTGACCATATATGACGGTGAATGATTCAAACTGTTTTCCTTTTTTATCAATGTCTCATTTTATGTCGGCTAACCCACAAATTAAAAAAAGTGCGTCGCACTAAAAAGTATAAATTTATATAATAAATTTATTTGAAGACAACCGACTGTCGAAAATTTTTAGCAACTACTGACAATGATAATGACAACGATGATGTCGATGATGCTGATGTTAAAAGTACGTTGAATATTTTAAAAATAATTATTGAAAATTGTAAAATAATGACTTACCCTTAGGAACACAATACACTCGGTTGATTTACTATTTTAGCAGTTATTTACTAAAATGATAAGTCTCTGAGCTTAGTTAAGTCGTTAATATTTATAATTAATAATACTGCAAGTTAATAATCTTTGTTACAACATACTGCGTTTGAAGTTTTAGATTCTAGTCGGCGGCCATTAGTGCACTTGAGCTTCGGTCGCGATGTTCACGATGAATATAGTCTCGATTTTCAAACGGTCGACCAGTAACTCACTTTGCCTCTTTTTTTTACTTTTATTTCCATTATTATATATTATTATCATTATTATTATTATTGAACTCAACTGTCATTCACAAAAAAAAACTAAATTTCGAACAATTTTATACTTTTTCAACACTTAAAAATTATTCATATTCCCGTTTTGAAAAATTAAGAACTTATTTCTGAATTTATTCTAAACAATTATTAATTACAAAGCTAATTATTATTAAATTAAAAAATTACTGCAATTTAAATTTTTTATAAAATTTTTTTTTAGATGGCGCTTGAGTGAAATGAATTGCCAATAAATGAAAATTGTTAAAAAAATAACTTTGGGTAATTATTTTATTGTTTAACTACTAGAAATATTTTAATTATTATTTTTTTGTAACTAAAATTTATATATTTTTTACAACTTTAACAAAATAGCAGCTTTTGTTGTTTTATATTAAAATGGCGGGAACAAAAAAGTGCGTTGACTGCCATCTATAATTTCTTTATTAAACTAAATATAGATTTTCTTTTAAATCTCGTTGGTGTGGATTAAAGTCAAAGTCGGCCAGGCGAATCTCTTTTCACATAATCACTCAACGCTAATATGGCTCCTGTAAGTATTTTTTAATAAATAATTTATATATAATAATTAAAAAGTTTAAACAATAAAAAATTTTTATACAATTAACAATCTTTAATCATTGATAACTTATTTTGGATAATTAATACTTGCATAAATATTGGGATGCTATTTAATTTTATGGATTATTGAGGTTACATAGGTTAAGCATTCTGGAGATTGTAAACATATAGTTTTTTATTTTAATAACAATATTTTTATAAACATTTTTGAGATGTGTTTCGAGTTTTTAGATATTTTTTTTATAAACTATTGAAGGAAAAAAATTAAGATCAATGTGTTTGATAATTTTATGTTTTCGGTCAACCATGCTGGTTGACAGCATGACAGCTAGTAAAGCATTCCATTAAACTTGAATGAATTATTAATTATTATTTTTTTTTTGTTCAGCAAGCTAAAATTAGCACCAAAAAACCAGTGCCAAAGAAGACTGGCGCTCCAAAAAAGAACCAGCTTCGTGGTAAAGCACAGAAGAAAAAAGTTTCTCTGTCTTTCACCATTGACTGCACCCACCCAGTCGAAGACAACATTATGGATGTTGCAAGTTTCGTAAGTTAAATTGTAATTACTGCTATTTTTCAATTTTTCACTAAAAAGAGTCATGAAAATTCATTGATAAATTTTTTATTACAGGACAAGTACATGAAGGAGCGCATCAAGATCAATGGCAAAACTGGAAACTTGGGAAATCTTGTTAATATTGAACGTAACAAGAACAAGCTCATCATCAACAGTGACACCGAGTTGTCTAAAAGGTGTGTAATAAAGATCTAAAAAATTGTTTATATTTTTATTCTGCGCTTATTAATATCTGTTGTGTGATGATTGAAAGTCACGCACGTGGATATTAAGCTACCTTTGAACAGATATTTTCATTAATTCGAACACCTTGTTTGTTTAATTTATAGGTATCTCAAGTACTTGACCAAGAAATTCTTGAAGAAGCACAAGCTCCGTGACTGGCTTCGTGTTGTATCCAAGGATAAGAATACCTACGAACTTAGATACTTCCAGATTACTAGCCAGGAAGATGATGATGAAGAAGATGCCGATTAAGTATAATCCTGAGCTTTTTTTGTACATATAATTTGATGTGTTTATCAAATAAAGTTCTTCGACTGGGAAATTATGAATATTGTTCTTTATTTTTTTTTTTTTTCTTAATTACTTGATAATAAATTTTATCTGTTTAACTTTATTTAAGTTATTCATTAAAATTATAGATTTAAGAAAAATTTTAATTACCTGTTGTTCCGTACGAGCTCTCGTGACTAAGGAATTTGTGATGTTATTAATTTAAATAGAAGTAATAAACGAGCTAAAAAGGGTCAGTTATTTTTAGAAACTCGCAGCAGTGTTTTCTGATGTTAAAAAATTTCAATTAATTATCCCTACTTTAAGTAATATATGTAATATTTTAATTACGTTAATAATAATATTAAATTTATCTTCAGAAATTTTAATGATGCTGGAATCAGAAGATATCTGAAAATTTTTCGAGAACTTGCGTTTATAAAAAAACCTTAAAAATTATCACATGTCTCAATTTCAATATCATAATTTTTTTACTTAATTTTATTCGATTGTAATTCAATTTCTAATTTTAATTTTTAGAAAAAAAAAAAATATCTGTCAATTCCAGTATCGTGAAATTTTATTATTTTTTAATTACTTTTTAGAAAAATTAAAAAAAAAACAGGTAATATAAAACTTTTGAAGTATTTAACTTCAGCAAAAAACTTAATTCCCATATTTACTTGTATGTTTTTTTTTTTTTAATTCCAAAATTTATTTTAAATAGACATTATTACAAAAAAAATAAAATTTCCAAAAATATTTATAGTTTTTATAGATTAAAAACTTGAATTTCTGGTACACATGCGTGTTTATGTTGATAAAACTCCGTTTTGTGAATTTATTTCTTAAAATCACGGATGACGTCATAAATTTTAAGATTTCTTAATTTTTTCTCCCATTGGTTTTCCGTGATTTTAGACAAAGCCAGATAGCGCCAAGAGCCTCTCCGAAAATAAATACTCGCCATTTTGATAACGCCGTTTATAACAAAGTCATAACTAAACGTTACTCGGTAAAAGTGAAAATATATTTGTTAAAGACAAATACTCAGTGTGATTACATATTAATAAAAACAACTATAACCAGGTAACTCTAAAAAAATAATTAATAAAAACTTTTCTAAATTTTTATTTTTATTTCGTTAATAACTGAAATTTTCAGCTCGTAACCTCGAAACTCTAAAATAACTGCCGACTAGTCTGCGAATAAATAATAATATTCCGAAATTTAAACACAGGAACATGAGCCCACTAAATAGAGGACCTTTGCTGCCGCCGCGGATGCCTCCAGTAGGTATGCGACCTCCACCACCGCGCTTCGGGCGACTTCCAATGCCAGGAATGCCTCCACCTCCTCCACCTATGGGGCCAGCTTTTGGACCGATGCGCCAGCGAATGCCTCCACCACCACCCAGACCTGGCTTGATGATGCGTCCAGGACCTGGAGGCCCTCCACCAATGCCTCTTTTCGCACCTAGAACTCGAGGACCACCACCACTTATGATGATGGGTCCCCGAGGCATGGGCCCACGCGGACCGCCAATGAGACCTGGACCCAGAGGAATTTTACCCCCACAGGGTTTACCACACATGAGACCGAGATTCCCGCCTGGAAATGCAGTTATTAAAGCTAAATCTATGAATAATCCCAAGAAAGGCAACAAATTAGAGGTAATTTTTTAGTTACTCGTAATTATAGTTTAAAATTTATCCGATAGTTTTTTTTTTTTTTTTTTTTTTTTCTAGAATTTTCCATCACTTTTAGGTTAGAAGAGTATTTTTTATTTATGTATTATTGCAGCAGAATTATTCAAATTATTTTTTTTTTTTAACATGGAAATTTTTTTAATTTTATTTTTTAACAAATAATTTGATGATTTTATTATTTTATTTAAAAAAATTCAATGTTGATTGAAGAAAAATTATTTGAGTAAAAAATGATAAAAACAATTTTTAAAATGAATCAAAATATATTTATGTTAAAAGGAAATGGAATTAAAAAAACCTTGGATGACGGACGAAATACGAGGTGAAGTCCAGCGTAAAAACAAACTTTACGCAAAAGCCAAAAAAAATAAAGACGCTAAAGAGTGGGAAGAATTCAAAGATCTCAGGAATAAAGTAACACGTATGATAAAAGACGCTAAGAATGAGTATTTAGCTAAGAATCCTGACCAGGTATGTTAATTCTCTAGATATTATTTATCACACTTATTAATTAATCAATTAATTAGTAACTAATAAAACGAGCGATAAATTGATTGATTACTGTACTATATTTTTATGACAATCCTGGTGGTATGTTCGATGGAATTGGTATTTTAAATTTTATTTTTCACTTGGATAGTATTCATAAATGTTGATTTTTATTTTTAAAGATATGTGTGGATCACGTCAAGACCAAGTCACTGACAAGTTATTGATTTGATATTTATTGATAAAAAATAAATAATAATCATTCTTATTTTTATTAAAAAAATAAACAATTAAATAAAATTAATAAGAAAAACGTTAGTTTATGAACAACTTTCCTTACAGGGTGGTCAAAAAGCAAGTGATAAGAATACAGTTGAGTCCGAGAGTGTTCAGGAAACAGAGAAAACAGAAATTCAAGCTGAACCGGTTACGAAAATGGAAGTAACGGAGGAGTCGCGGCCTTCCAGCGAACAGGCTCAGTCTTAAAGCTTCGGGCTACTCCTCCGTATTAACAATTTACAAATTTATAAATATAAATTATTTACAAAAGTCTATTTAAAAGATAAAAAATAATTCATAAGTAAAATTAATAATAATAATAATTATCGTTATTGTTATTAATATACGACTAATTAATATTTACTAAAATCAAACGTATTTTTCAAATTATAAACAAGTTATGTTAATATTTTAATAATCATTAGCACGTTTGATTAAGATAAAGTAATAAGTTAAAACTTGAAACAAGCATCAAGTTAAAGTACAAGTTGTTTGATGTTTTTTACACGCATTAATTTATCAATGAATTTAGTCACTTCATTTAATTATTTTTAATTAATTTTTTCATACATTAAAATAGTTTCTGTTATTTGAAAATTATTGTAGATTTGTTTAATTGTTTGGCTTTGTTTGTGTTTGAAATTCTGTATTGAATGCTAGAGTCATAGTTATTGTCATTACATTCCTTATTGTGACAATTGCATTGATTGATGAATTTATTCTCAATTATATCAAATTTAACAATTTTATTTTTAATCACAAGGAGCTCTAGTTATTTATTTTTTAAATGTCGTGGTTTAGAGATGAATTAGATTTTTGAACGAGGCTGGAAATGTTTATGCAAAATAAAATTAATTAATTAATAGTTAACGAAATTATTAATTAATGTTAACATTAATAGTTAATAATAGTCTGATTTAAAAAATGAGTAGAGTTCTTTTTGATTAAAAATAATTGTAGAATAAAATACGTAGTTTCAGCGTTCAATTACTCAAAACTGAAAATTGTAATTTGAAATTTGTTTATTAAAAATTAATTAAATTTTTTTGTCACTTGTAAGTTATTACTATTATTATCATTCAGATATACTTATATTACTATGTGCCAATTGGTACGATTTTGTGCAAATAATTACTCATTTTTATGGATATTTAAAATAATTTGACAGCATTTTTATTCACTTATTAATTTAATTGAAAAAATATTAAAAAACACAAAACAAAGATATTTGTATTTAAATAATATAATGTCAAAAATAAATATTTCTACAAATTCTAAATGAAGAATTTTGTGTACAAAAATTTTTAATTACCAATTTACATTAGCAAAAAGAATTGTTTGTATTTTTTAATTTTTTTTTTATTTGAAATTATTATTTGTTGGAATATACTGATAACTTAAATTTTAATACTAATGAAGAATTCTCTAGTTTCCTGAGCATAAAAAGCTTAAGAAGAGTCCAAATTTTGATTTAAATTTTGACAAAAAATCACGAATATCCGAAAGGTTTTGTTATTAAAAAAAAAAAAAAATCAGAAGAATTAATTTTTTATAATAATTTGTATTAAAATTAATATTATAAACATATTTTAAGCGAAAATTTTTAGGCAGCCTTGTACCAAGATGATGAAGATTATCACGATCTGCGTGATGAAAATAATCTGAGTGAAGATGAAGAAATTATTTTTTACTGTGAAATATGTGATCGTGAGTTTGTAACTGAGAAACTCCTCGAAGATCACAATAGCACTCACAAAGTTTGTGGGATTGACGGATGTGAGTTTTCGGCACATCCTAAATTAGTCGACAAACATATCGCTATGCAACACCGCACTGGATATTTTAGTAAATTAAAAAATTTGAGCACACCTGAGGATATTGAAAAATGGATCAACGAACGTAAACGGTAATGGTTTTATTCAATAATTTAATTAATTTATTGATTGTTCGAAGATAAATCATTTTTATATTTGATTGCAGGAAATATCCAACGAAGAATAATGTTGACGCGAGAAAAGCCGAGCAAGTTGAAAAAAAATCTCGGGGAGAAATAATTAAAGATACAAAGCCGAAAACAAATATTCGGAATGATAACAAAAGCAAGAGAAGAAAGAAAAAATTAAGAAAAAGACCAGATGTTAAATCTGATGAGGTTGAGGTTGAAGAAACTTGTCAAGGTGTCAAACCGTTCAAAGGCATCAGTATGTAGTCTCACATTTTTATCTCATTTCTGATTAAGTTTACTTTACTTCTTTAGTATGTAATACTCAACGTGAAAATAATTTTTTAGAAATGATCATCAGTGAAGACGAATCAGTCGGTGATGTGGCAAAAGAAGAGTCACTATTGGATAATCATTTCACTGATGATGAAGATGAAGTTCCAACAACGAACGCACCACTGGAACCAGTTATTAAATCAATCAGTAGTTTGGTTGCTGATTATGGTAGCTCAGAAGATGGTAAATATTTTAGGTAACTCTTATTTAGAACTTTTCAAGTTCTAAGTTTATTCTATTTTATTTTATTTTATTTTATAGAACCACCTGAAGAAATTCCAATTAAAAAAGCGAAAATAGAAAAAATTGATGTGAATCAAGAGCCAATATCTTCAAATACAACAGTTAACCAATTTCAGGATGTTAAAACTTTGCCACAATTAGATAAAACAAGTAAAATATTTCATAAAAATGATTTAAAACACAACAACAGCAACAATAATAAAAATAGCAAAAATAGCAATAGTAGTCATAATAATAATAATAATAACAATATTACTAGTAAATCAAACAAACGAAAAAATTTATATCAAAGACATGCATTATTAGAGCAGCTATTGTCTAAGTCTATAGCCCACGAACGAAACTACATTTGCCAATGTTTAAAATATATTGTGGACAATAACTTTTTCGAAAAAAAAGAATCTTGAAGGTGTATATTACTGTATTTATTAATAAGTTTTTTTTTAAATAAAAAACAAAATATATATTTTTTTATTTTACTTTTTTTACTAAGTTCCTCAGACAAAGCCACCCCAAAACCACACTCTATTTGTATCAAATGTTTTTCTCTTAGAATGAGAAAAAACTATAGCCTATTTTTTGAAATCAAAAGGGCGTATATCTTGAATACGCTTTTTTGGCTTTAGTAATTCCAAAATTTTTTTTTTTTTTTTAGTTTTAGTTTGAAAATAGCTTTATTTATCATTAGTTTGTTACTTAACAAGGTTACATATTTTTGTATTTTGATGTTATTATAAATTTTACCTATCTTATGACTTAACAAATTATTTATGTTCTTTATATATCTTATGTTTTCTTCTTATATAGAGTTTCTGGTTTATTTTCGTGGTAAAAATTAACAAAAAATCCACTATACAGAAAATTTTTTTTTTTTTTTTTTTTTTTTTTTTTTTTTTATATTGATCTGGACGTTTTATAGTATGAGATCCGGCTGCAGAATTAGTGCGCTCATCGAATTTGTGCTAAAAACCAAATTTTTATGTATACTTATGATTAGGAGAATATATGTCTACCAGCAGGTTGCTTATCAAAATGTGGCCGCTTGTTTTTTTAAATAAAATATCGTTGACATTAGAATAAAAATGCCGTAGATGTTTAGTTGAAAACACTAGCATTCGACGCATTCACAATGGCTTAAGAAGATTTTGAGTTAAATGGCAAAAAATTTTTTTTCATAGTCCCTTTAGACATTTATCACACGATATAGCTTATGCAGAACATAAAGAGTAGATTTGCATTGAGAAATTCTAATTTTAGCTTTAAATGTCAACAAAATACAGGAAAAAATTTAATTTGTTTGAATTATTAAATTTTTTATTTATTAATAAGTCTTTTTAATAAAAAAAAAAATATTTTTATACAAGAGTAGCATTAACATTACTTTGAAAAGCGTTTCTTCTTTTTCTTCTTTAGCTCACCAGGTTCCTTAAACTCAATCGGCTCGTCACTTATCCTCTTCTCTCCACTCTTAACAGAAATCAAGGATTTATTACCCTTACCCTTCAAACTATTATTCCACTCCTCATCAGTACCTTTAATTTCATACCGTCTTAAATCTTCTCTCTTGAGTCTCTCGAGCTCGATCTTCTGTTTAGCCTGCAATTCCTTCGCCTCCATTTCCAATTCTTTCTGTAAAGACTTACTACCCTCTGAATCGACTTTAACATTATCATGCACCGTTTCATCGCCCATTAAAGTCTTCGCTACATGGCCCTTGCTAATCTCGTCTAAATATTTCATTGCTCCACGAATATACTTGGTGAGAATTCCCAACACTTGCGACGGTTCTAAGGCTTTGTCTTTTTTGTCTTTGATGTTTTTGTCCTTTACTACAAGTTCCGACGCAAGAAGGTCGACACTTTTGTGCTGTAATCCTAACCCTAACATAATCGCAGCAGGCAAGGCCTTGAATTCTGTTTCGCCCATAAGGTCAAGGAAAGAAAGCTCTGCTAACTTACGCAAGTAGGGTACCACCGCGTTGAAGTCCATCATATTTTTAGTGTACTGTTCCAAAAACTTGAGTTCAAGTGGATTAAAGTACCTATCCAGATCTTCTTTACTCAAAGTCACCTTTTTAGGCTTAAAAACGTTGCTTGTCAACAGCTCGAGACCCATACTTGGTGAGTACTTCCTAAAAATTCCTGCCAGTTCGGCTATAAACACCCTGCGGAATTGATTCCAGTAATTTTCAAGCCACTCGAACTTTTCATCATCATTATGCTTTACTGGAGAGATCATTATACATGAGTGTTCACCAGTTATGTCATTACAGGCGCGACTTAAGTAAACAGGAACAAACTCAGACTTTTTCCAGAACCTTAGCAGCTGTTCCGTCAATCCATAAGAAACTCCCAGGTAGTCTAAATGTTCTGGACGGCGTTTGCTTAATTTTACTAACAATGGAGGCAGCTTTTTCTTTGGTTCGATTGTTTCTTCAAGCAGATCTACCTGTTCTTCAGGAACACTCTCTATTTCTGTTTTTGCTTCTTCAATTTCACTCTCATCAATATTCGGAATCTTACCCTCATAATATTGCTTGAGAAGTTTTAGGGCTCGAGTACCGTATTTCTTACCGTAGCAATCTGGGTGCGCGGCGATGCGAACGATGCGCGCGCCTGATAAACTCGGGAAATTTTCATCCTGAAAATTTTGCGCCAAAGTCCAGGGAATTAAATCACCGGCAGCTTTTTGGCCACGGCCTAAACTATTTGTCACTGTGGACTTCCTGATCTCTCCTTCAAGACACACCTGAATGACGACCAAAATCTCTGGGAGAGAAGTACTAGAAGCATCAAAAGAACGTAATAAGCAGAACAGATGATGCGCAGGTGCATCTGACATCATCAGTAAATCGTTAGGTGAGTTTTTGTAGTGAGAAGCTACGTACAGCGATACTAAACGCTGAAGAAACATCTCGGAAGCTTTGTGGTATGAAAACAAGGCATCACGGTTAACGTAGTACAGCTGGCAATCTTTTTCGTCAGGAAATCCTGTTAAAATCGGCGTAACCACATCGAGACAGAGTAGTTTTGTCAGCCATTCTTCGACCTGGTCCCCTGGCTTGTACCGGATAGATTCTTCGAGGGTTATTTCATGCAACTGGCGGCCTAAACTTTTCTCAAACTGGGCTTTTTTGGACTTGTCGTTTTTGAGGGCAACGGTTGACTGATTTCGGAGCTGCTGCAATAGTTTTAGAGACAGAGAACGTCCTGTGCCCTCGTAGCCGTTGATGGTGGAGGATAAAAATACCAGGTAAGGTCCTAGAAGTGATTTAACGTATGGTAGTGGAATCGCCGCTGCTTCATCGATTACTAAAAGCTCGGCTTGGCTCAGCTTGTTCGAATCCGTAGGGTGAATGTACTGGATTGTCTGGCGGTGGTCACGGGTTACGTTGATTCGAACAATCGCTCGACGGAACTCTGGGTTTGTTGATTCTATCAAATCGTAGTCAGCGATTTTTGAATATGCTAAGGCATCGAAACCTGATGAAAAACATTTTTTGTTACAATTGTTTTAAATTTTGTCAATTAATTATAATTAAAATTTTAAAAAACTTACCTTTGCAAATAAATTCAAAGACAGTTTTCAAATTTTCAGGACTAGGACTAGTGACATAAATGTTTGAGTATCCAAAAGCAATTGCACCAGCAATGGCAAGTCCCAGCGTCGCAGATTTACCACGTCCTCGAGCGGCAGTTAGCGACACAGTAGATCTCAAAGTTTTCTCAGAAATAGTTTCGATAAATCGGAGCAGAGCTTTGGCCTGATCAGCAGTCTTACAGCAGTTTATGAGCGACGAGACTGGCTGAGTATCACGAAAACTATCTTTCAGAAGACTTAGCTCACCAGACTCCTCTTCGGATGAAATCTTTGGAGCAGGCTCAATTTGCAAATTCTCTGATGATATAGGTAGCACGCGGAGTTGATCGTCGACTACTAAACAGCGATTGCAGGAGGCGAGTGATAAAAGGAAACGCTCGTTAAAGCGACATACTATGTCCTGGTGAGCTTCAGTCCGGTATCGCCGATGGACATCCATCGTCATGGTGTACAATTGCTTAAGAGAGTTTACTGATTGTAGTAACAGTATTACTAAACCGCCTCCTTCAACAGTTTCAATCGTACGAGCTAGTAAATTTGGAGTCAGTGCCTCAAAATCCTGGAAAAATTTCAGTTATGTTACATTACTTTATTTATAAAAATTTTTGACTAATCTAATACTATCCCGAGTCGAAAGTGAACTTACACGAACTTAAATCAATTGTTTTATATAACGGGTAAGTTCATTTTTTAAAACTCAGGATATTTAACATATTAAATAAATGAACTGAGACAGAAAAATTATTGTCTAAAAAAGAATTTCTTCACTCAAAAATTTATTGAAATAAATCATTTAAATTCATCAATTTTTTGACAAAAGAATTTTAATATCTGCTTTCATTTTAAAATACACTAACAAAAATTAAGGTAATAAAAAAAAATGTAAATTTTTTTTAGATTTTTGACGGGCTGTATTTCAGCTCCAAGACTCTAGTTTTCAGATCTTGCGGTCAAAATTTTTTAGGAATTACGGTTTTAACATGATCCGAAGAAATAGAGCGAAAAAAATTTTTTACAAATTTTTGATTTTTTTTTTTCGCTCTACGGGCTCGGAAAAATTTTTTCAGACAAAGCGACCTTATAGAACAGATAGCCTGTTTATTCAGCTTCAATTTCATTTTTTATTTAGCTTGATACGACCATTTGTTGCGGAGATATCCGAGATTAGACGAAAAAGGACGTTTATATCTTTAACCATCAATATCTCAGCAACCAATTATCGCACAGCAAGAAAAAGGACAGTTTTGGAAACTGGAAAAAATTCCCAATAAAATCCCATAAAAAAATTCCAGAAAAATAAATCTTATCGATGTACGATACCGCTTTAAAGAAAGTTGAAAAAAGTGACTCTTTCCCTTATTTTGGTTAATCGACTGTATCTTAATAAATATTGACGGGGAAGCTAGACATTGCAGGAATTTTCACACCTCAATGTACCCCTGAAAACATTTTTTTTTATTACCTTAATTTTTGTGAGTAGTGTATTTGCCTTAATTATAACAGATATACCAACGAATAATTTTACTTGGATTAAGGAAAAATTACTTTGGTCCATTTGACCAATTTTTTAAACAAGAAAATATAGTTTTAATAATAATAAAAAATATATTTTCTTGTGTCAAGAAAAATTCCTTGATAGTAGTTTTTTTTTCTCTCAGTGTAAAAAATTACAATAATTTATAAATTACCTGAAGAACACACATTCCATAAGTTTGACCCAAAATAGTATGGGTCTCATTGTAATAACAATAACGTATCTTTGAAGACAAAACAAATAATTCAAACGGATCATCAGTATCTGTATCAATTCTTCCGGATTTAACTTTTTTTTCTATCTTCTTCATACGTTTTTGCCGGTGACTACTGAATCCTAGATTTTTTTTGTAGCACCATAAGATATTAGGTTTTGGTTTTACTGACGATTTCAGTAACATGTGATGTAACACGACAATCTATAATAGAGGAAAAAAAATAAAATTAATAATGAAAATTAATTTAGCATATATTTAATAATTTTAGAAATTTTATAACAAATCAAATATGGCAAAAAAAAAAATTAGAAAAAAATTGACATGTAGAAATTAAAAATGCAATTTTTTAAAAAAAATTTTTTGACACAAATTTTATTGTTAAATTAAATTAAAAAATTGTAAAGTGCCAGCTAACTTAAATGTCATAAATTAATAAGCTAATAACTAATAATTAAATTTAATTAAAATTCTTGGTGGATTAATTACCTGGTCTCGTGCTTTTTCTCCAATTACAACAAACATTGTTCTATGTCCCTCGGTAACTCCATTTTCAATTAATATACGAATACGATTGTCTAACTTTTTACGAACCATTGTTAATTTTTTTGTTTTTTAAAACTTTTAAGTAAATTTTGTATACTTATTTTTATTGAAACACGTGGCTGCCAAGACCAGAGTGTGTATATATTATATTACAGAAAGCAAACAAGTGAATAGGTTATGTTTTACATTCACAATAGTTGAGTTTACATTTTAAAACATGTGACAAAAAGAGTGGGAGAACGGAGAAGTTCCATCAGATGGTAGAAAAGGTAGAAATTATAATTAATTTAAAGCGGTAACATTCAAAAATATTTTATTTTCATACAAGGTAAAAAAAAAGAACCTTAATTATTTATCAAAAAGATAGTGTGTATATTTTTATTGAACTACAATTGATATTCAATGCCCAATAACTAAAAAAAAATTTTTTTTATACAAAATATTATAATTTCGAACTAGTAAAATTCAGTAAATAAATTTCTATTATTTATTTAAAAAACAATGTATTTTATTGTTTTTAAACTTTAAGATGTATTTTAAGAAAAAAAAAAGTTAAAAATAAAATTTAATTATAAAAAAAACAAAATAGTTCTATTTCTCTAAACAGAAAAAAATGATTGATTACGGTCCTCTAATCGTTTCGTGTGATAAAAAAGTTTACAATTGCAAAAAAAAAATAGTTGTAAAAATGTCCTGTAAATACATAAATATATTATCAGTCTACTCTAAAATATTTAGAGTAGATTTTAACAATAGTTTCTGTTGTTAAAATCTAGTCAATTAATTAATAATGAATAATTAATCAATCAATAAAATATTAATCATTAATTATTCGTCGATATTTCCTATGAGGGGGAAATAAATCCTCGTCTTCTTCCGGTGTTAATAACGGATCATCGTAGGCAAAATTTGGAGCCCACTTTAACAATAACTTCTCGAAAAATTCTTCGAGACTACGTGCTTGTTGATAAACAGATGATTCAACCTTTAAATAAAAAAATGAATAAATTAATTAAATAAATCATTTAAAATTAATATTAATAATAAAAATAAATTAAACTTACAGGATTAAACGTATAAGCATTTTTAAACATTAATCTGACATCTGCCAACACTTGTTTTAACTCTGTGTAGTGATTCGGATTATCTGATTTTAACTTATCTCTAATTACATCTAAGGCAATCGGTTTTTTAATTACTTGATGATATTCGGTAATCTGTTGATTATAAAACAAAAATATAAATTATTAATAAATTAACTATCAAATAAATTAATACAAGCATAAATAAGTATATTTGAATAAATACTTCTCGAGAAACAACTTCTCTGAATGGAAGACTTTGCTCATACTGGCAGTAGAGCTCTAAAATAATTCTCTGAGCTATCCTTAAATCTTTAGGGCTCATTGTGTTGGATCTTTTATCTTCTGGTGGGTCTTCAGTGCAGTCTAGCACATTTGTACATAGCATACATTGCCAGGTTTCACTTTCACTGAAACAAAGGAAAATTTTTAAACCAGGACATAATAAGATTCAATCTGTAGTTGCTTTCACTCCGTTAGCATAATTTATGGGTAAAATATTTTTATGGCCAAAAACATCAAGTTTCAATTTAAGTTAAAATATTTATTCAGCTATTAAAAATCAACCGTTATTGTGAAAGGGTGTCCCATAAACACATATAACGATTGTTAATTTATTATTATTATTAAATTCGTAAACCACCGAAATAACAGTCCCCTAGGCTGTCCCATTCCCAAAATTAAAACTTTAAGATTAAATTTTAAGTTATTCGTCCATAATATATAATTTGGTCTACAATGTTTATAAACTTAATTAGTTAACTAACAATCTTCTTCAATAAAAAGTACCGAAAATTAATTTGATTCATTAAATTCATTAAACCAAAGTTTGTCCCAGGCATTTTAAGAACAGTCCCCTGCCAGAAGTTCAAAGCCAAAAAAAAAAATCCTGCGTGTTATTTTACCTTTTGTAAGGTTTATAAGGACCTAACTAGCCTTTAGTTAATAACCATAGGGCCGTTAGCGCTTTATCGCCATTATATTTAGTGTAAAAGCACCATTTGTGCTGGAAATATGTGTCTGGGTCACTTCAAAACTCAGTTCCCTGGCAACTATTTTTATTTATAATTTATTTATAAAATTGGATCCACAAGTCTTAATATTATTCTAATTAATGTAAACATTCATTGAGAACTTGAAAAGTTGAATACATTGAAAAAGTTTGCTTGATTTTTCTTAATTTGATAAAAAAAAAACAGTCCCCTGTCATGTTATATGGCAAAAGACACAAATATCGAAAAAACAAAAATTAATTTGGCTGTTTATTTATTATGATTAAGCTGATAGTTTTGTAGCTCTTGTTAATTTTTTTTTTATAATAAAATCAAACATAATTTGGTCCAACAATTTTATACAGATTTAAGACGCCCTTACAGAGAATCACCTATATAACAATATTTAAATTTTCAATAAAAAGAAAAGAAAATATAATTTAATGAAGAAAAAATACAGTAGAAATTTATCACAATAGGTTTTAAATAATAAGTATGAAAAGCAGATAGATTGAAAGCATAAATAATAATTTAAATAAAAAACTCACTCAGGGAAAGTTTTTAAACTAGGAATGTGGCAATATAAATGAAATACTTTCGGGCATTTATCGCAACAAAGAACAGCATCGCCACCGTCCATGCATACTGCACACCAATCTTCATTAGGATCATCCTTGGTCATCGAGACTGCAGTAGCTTTAGGGTCTACTGAAGAAAAGTGAATATACACCGATTATTCACACCATCTAATGAAAATAACTTTAAAGAAATGAAGAATTTATTATTTACCCGAAGCAGCATCAAGATTAATTCCCTCATCAGTAGAACTGTCAACCTGTGATGTGTCCATTTGATTTTTCTGGGCCTCTGGTATCACAACAATTCCATTAGAATCCAATTTAGCGATAGTAATCAACAAATCATTGAGTGACTTTTGACAAAATTTATCCAAAGTTTTTTCTGTTTCGTCAGATTTACCTGGAACTGGGCTTGGAGTTTTTGGTACGGAAGATGATACTGTGTTCGCCAGACCACTGGGATGACCCAGCAGTTGATTCTGTCCATTGAGATTAACGCCAATATTCTTCTGATTTGCATTAACATTACTATTATTACTATTGTTATTGTTATTATTATTATTACTACTACTACTATTATTATTATCATTATTATTATTATTATTATTATTATTACTAACATTACTTATGTTATGATTAACATTCTGATGATGATTATTATTACTATTATTATTGTTATTGTTCTGATTTTTAAGAATTATTTTGTATGCATCATGAGGTGTAGGCACTTGTGGATGAATAGCAGGTCTTGGGTAGTACGCGGGCGTATTACCCTGAGGAATATGCCAGCGAGCAGTCTGCGGATATAGCGGATAGCTGATAGGTGAATTTACTCCTGTACCACCGGGAGTTAATTGTTGGACACGTCCTCCGGAAACAAGAGCTGGATTTGTCGGCTGATATGTAGGCGGTGCTGTGCGAGGAATCGTTATATTACCGCCAGGACCCCCAGGGTATCTGTATCCTGGAGGCAGTCTGTAAGTTACATGATTTGTCGGGCGAAACGGCGGTGGATTGTGTGCCAGCAGTCCTCGCAAGCTGGAATTCTGCCCGCTAAGTTCCATGTGAATTTGTTGTTGTTGCTGTTGCTGTTGCGGTTGCTGTTGCTGATGTTGTTGCTGATGCTGTTGTTGCTGATGTTGTTGCTGTTGCTGTTGTTGTTGCTGTTGCTGTTGCTGTTGCTGTTGCTGCTGCTGTTGCTGCTGCTGCTGCTGCTGCTGCTGCTGCTGCTGCTGCTGCTGCTGAGGATGAGTCGAGGAAGTCACTTGCTGTTGGTGACAGTTTGGCGGCCCAGATCGCGGCATTATCATTGGTCTCATTGTCGAGCCGTTGAACATCGTGTACGGAATTCGTTGATGAGGTTGGAGAGTTTGTGGTGATGATCGCGGTGGCATTGTGTGAGCTGGATACGGTGGTGGATAATTTTGCTGTAAATTTAATATTTAATTAATGATTTATTAGCGACCTGTAAGGTAAAAGCCTCAGTAGCTGCTCATGTACCAGTACATGCTCACTCTATGTATTTGTATATCTATATTTGTGAATAGCAGCTACTGGGGCTCGTACCTTAAATTATAAATAAATTAAAAAAAAATGTTAGCTTAGTTATTTATTAATATTCTTTAGTTTAGGTATTCTTTATATAAATTTAAAAAATAATATTGCTATTACAGGATCAATTACCAATTATTGAATGAACGAATAATTTATTTATAACTGCTCCAAAAAATCAAAATAAAAAATTGACTAGAATAAAAAAATACATAAAATCATGAAAAGGTACAAATAAACGTCCAGACCTTTCTGATGATACCGAACTTAATTATAAAAAAATCTTTTTTAAAATAAAAATGTCCCCGTCAAAAAATTTTCCTTGTTATTTTAGTTATTTAGATGATAAATTTTTTATCTTCGAAAAAAATATCAAACCATAAAAAGACATCAATTGAGGTTACGACCTTTCTAATGGTATCGAATTGAAGTATAGAAACTCGTTTTATAATGAAGATAGTCCCGTCATAAAATTTTTCTTATTCTCTTAATTATATAGATTAATATTTGAAATTCAACAACATTCACATGTACAAAACAAAATGAATAAATAAACAAATTTTATCTCGTGCGAAATTCTGATCTATTTACAACTATTCCAAAAATTTATCGTAATAAAAAAATTATCTTAGAAAATCATATGAAACCTTTAAAAGGCATAAATTCAAGTCAAGACCTTTCTAATTATACAAAATTTAACTTAAAAAATAAAAAAATTTTATTATATGATACACCAAAAAGAAATTTTTTTCCTTATTCTCTCAATTAAATAAAAATAAATTAATCTTAAAATAAAAATTGCGACCCCTAAAATTATCCTATCAAACAAAAACAATAAAAAGTGAATGAAAAAATTACTTGAGCAGGTTGTATCGATTGTAATCCTGGAAGTTGAGGCTGAGGTTGAGGTTGCGGTTGAGACTGCGGCTGTGGTGGGTTTGTCGGCTGCTGATAAGGCAAAGTAACCGAAGGGAACGTAGCTTGTGTAGTAGCTTGACTCCCAGACGCCTCAGCACCCGCTACGCTCACTTGCTTCGGTTCAACATCCAGAGTAGTCGGCGTGCTGGTCCCCGAGGAAGGTGACCCTGATGGGTAAACTCTTCCATCAACCACAATAGCTCCAATCGACGAAATAATTTTAATCAAATCCGGAACTTTTTCCAGCGATAAATTAATCCTCACGGGGATCTCCGGGTTGGGAATATCAGCTCGGCGATTTTTAATCCGCTGCAAATGACCCACCACGGACTTCTTACTATAGAGCAGCTCCATATCCGAGCCCTTCTCCAGTGCGTAGTCAACAAACTGAATGCAGTGATCAGTGAGCTTGGACAACTGGTCTAAGGCTTCTTTTTTCTCATTCAACGTCGACTGCTTCTGATCACACACTTCATTCAGCCTCGTTATCAGCTGCTTGCCCCTAGAACTAATCGCTTTAGTCAGCTGGACCACCATATGTGTGATTTCCTGAACCAAGCTTTTCTTTTTATCAAAAATCAGGACCTGTCGATCTTCGATAACTTTCATTGCACTTTTCAACAATACTCGCTTATAAATAACTTCCTTTAGTAGCGTAGACACCGAGTTCCGTGTTTCCGCTGCTATTTCGTGGATAAATTTATACTTGTGATCTCGGTGCTCACTGAGCTGGCAATCCCGGCACGTTAATTGATCGCAGGTCTGGCAAAACAGCGACAACTGTTCATGAGTGTGTATAGAGCAAAACAGAGAACTTAACTGCAATAACTTTAAGTTTTTCTTTTGCGACTCACTCGTCGACTGGGTGGTCACTTCATTTTTCGGTTTTATCGTGTGGTCTTTGGTTATCTTCAATCTCTGGTGAGCGTTAACACAGTTTTCACAGATAAATTCCTTACAGTCGACACACCAGCTCGTTGCGGATGCGTTGTCATGACAGCTTGTACATTTTTTTTCCTCATCCTCCGCAGAAGTGTCATCAGAAGTATCACCAGCCTCTAAATCATCAAGCAGGAGAAATTTAGCGTGAAATTTATTGTCTATTAAATTCTCCGTGTGCGTCGTTACGTTACAAACTTGACAGACGATCATGTTGGACTCGATCACAATGTCAGAATCCGAGTAAATATTGTGCTCGCTGACTTTAGACGCGATGCATCCGGTACAAGCTGCGTGCAGACACTCCAGTAATTTCGAGTTATCGTCGCTTGTGAAGGTTTTGCTGCAGAAGACGCACTTCGCCAGGAAAGTTCGCGCTTCAGAATGACTCTCTGGAGTGCAAGCGTTGCGCTGCTCCTGGTCATCTTCTGGAGATACTTGTTGCTGCTGCGACGGCTGGACTTCCTGGCTGTTTATGTCCATCGGCTCCTCTTTCACGCCTATCAAGGACACTGTCGCCTCTTCACCTTGCTCCTCCATTCTGTTAAACAATATATATTTGTGAATATAACTATAATTATACGTAGAAGTTACAGTAATTAAATAAACTAGAAATTATTCATGTAAAATTATTGATTGGTCATTGATCACTTATCACTTTGATGAAAATAATCATTTTAACGAAAACACTGTCAACATTTTAGTTGGAAAAAATTAACAGTAGCCAATACAAGCGTTTTAGGTTAATAACTGTAAGTACATAGTGTTTATATTTACTTTTGTTTTAATTGTTTGCTTAACCTTTGTTTGTAACTTAAACGTTACGGTTGTTTTAATTATTTAATATTCACATTTCACGTCAGTGGTAAATATTTTTCAGAATAACGTTTTTTTTTTATAATATTCTTTTGAGTGAGTACTTTTTTGGGATGTTTCATTGGACACAGCTTGCGCTTTCTCTGCACTACTTGTATGTACTTTGATGGGATTGGGTAACTATGTTTTACTATAGGTATTTATTTGACTTTACAATGACTATAGCAAGTAATAATAATAGTAATAATAATAATAATAATAATAATAATAATAATAATAATAATAATATAATAATAATAATAATAATAATAATAATAATAATAATAATAATAATAATAATAATAATCCAGACGAAATTATCACTTACTTATCACAGTTTTTATATTTTTGACGTTTGATGAATTGACATCATATTTTTACACTGCATTAAAAATCCAATTTTTCTGTAAAAAAAAAATTACATCCACTTCATTTGACATTTGACGGCTGATGCTTACATTTAATGATATTGAAATCATTAAAATCAATCGACATCTGATCACATATTGATTTTTTCAAACAATTTAATTACGACAATGAAAATATTAAAAAAAAAAAAATGCCATTCGGCCTCACCCGAAATGGAAGGTAGATTTCATGTGATATGAGATTTTCTTTATTTATGTTATTTAATTTGTTCGATAACATGTTTAAGTAATTTTTTAATTTTCAATCCGCTATAACTTTTAAACGATTTAACCGATTATCACGTAGTTGACAACAGTCGATGCAGTTTTTTGAATTCTATGATAAATTTCAAACCGTGAATAGATCAGATAAAAAATTTCGGACTTTGTTTGAAAAAAACGCTTTTTTCGATTTTTTTCGTCAACGATATCTCACAAACGAATCAAGCGATTTTGACCGGTCCAGCGGCGATTGACGTAGTTTTTTGATGTTAAGAGCTGATTAGTTTTTGGTATCGGTCGATAAAGCTGTTCACAATCATTCTAAAAAAACCACATTTGAAAAAAAGTTCTCATTATTTTAAAATTTTTGAGTGGCCTATAAAATTAATAAAAATCTTCCTAAAGTATAAGTGTTATAGGTCAAATTGAAGGAAATATAATCAGCTTCACCATGAAGTTTTCAGAAATGAGCTCTTTTCTATCAGTCAAAAGTTATTCACGGTTAAAGTTACAAAACTTGAAATTTACAAAATTTTGAAAATTTTAAATGGCCGCCATTTCTAAACTAATTGACCAATTTTGCTCATCTTCGAACTCGACCTCGGTAATTACCCAAAGAATATGTGTACCAAGTTTCATCAAGATCGGTTGAAAACTTTTTGAGATATCCTGATGACAAGGCTGGTTATATTACATATATATACATATATAAATTTTTTAACCAATGGTATTTTTGGAACCTACTCGACTAATTATAACATATAATAGCAAAATCAGGTGAAAATTCCACCATGAGGACTAATGCAATAGTTAAATTTCTAACAAAATCTACCTAAAAAAAAAAAATTGCATAAATTATTTTTTACATGTGGATTTTTTTTTTTTCAATAATTCAGGTTGTCAAAAAAATTTTAATGCCAATCAGATTTTTATTTCAATATCTTAATATTTTCTGCAAATATTAATAATTAATAATTTTTTTAATTTACTCATTTTAATAACTCAATCAGTTATACTTTTAAAATCATCAAAATTTTCCTACGAAATAAATAAATTTTTTAGTTAATTTTTATGTTAAAATTTTGTTTGGTTTTTTTTTTTTGTTTAAAAGTAGGTCTGTTCGTTTTTCCCACCCTCGTAATGACATTAAAGTTAGCAGTCACTAGAGAATTTTTTAATTTTTTCTAACAAACAAATTTGTTCAAAAAAATTACTTTTAAAAAATTGCATTTTTTATTTTTTAAAATTTCTACATGTCAATTTTTTTTTCTAATTTTTTTTGCCATAATTTATTTAAAAAAAAAAAACATTCTAAAAATTATTAAATATCTGCTAAATTTATTTTCATACCCTCATATTATTCTTAGAAACTAAAAAATTCAAAAAATTAAATATCCGAAAATTTCATTAATTATAGAATAACTTTTAAAATAATTAGTTACCTGTTACCTGTAAGGATAATTCTGATTTTTCCAAGAATTTAAATGCTACCATATCAAGAAACTTGATGTTTGAAAATACAATTCTACCAACTACTGATTTGAAGTATGAGAACAGCATGAGCACAGCGGCCATGTGATTGTGTTGTTATTTATTTCCATAATTTTACCAACATCTTGAAACAAATAAGTGTATTTATAAATCTAAATTACAAAATTAAAAATAAGTAAATTAATTGATTATAAAAAAAAAAATATGCTTCTGGACAATCCGTTCTCAATGGACCAAGATTCAGACAGTGACGTGAGTATGAGTGAGGATTCTTCGGAAGATGAGGTTATGTCTGGAGATTCCCCGATGGAGGACGATGACAGTGAAGAAGAGCAGCAAGAAGCTGGAGCAGAAGGTGAAGAAGAAGAAGAAGAAGATGAAGTTGTTAAAGCTATTACTGCTTCCAAGGAGTTTCATCGAGAACACCCTCCAGATATAGTGATTAATGATCAAGATCCTTCTATTCACAATATTTGTTTTCATCCTGAGCAGGATTTTATCGCACTTGCTTGTACCAACGGTGACATCAAAGTGTAAGTTCATTGATTAATTTATTCATTTTCATTTATTCTTTTATTTTTATTATCATCATATTTGTTGGTGTTACAGGTATAAATATAGTAATGATGAGAATATTTCGCAATCTGTAATAGAAGCTCATGAGGATTCATGTCGGGATGTCAAATTCAGTGCAAATGGAGATACCTTGTTTTCAGTATCCAAAGACAAGTCAATTGCAATAACAGACTTTGCTACGCAAAAGTTCAAAGGAATTTATGAAGAAGCACATGAGTAAGTTGTTGACTTAGTATAAATTATTTTTTAATAGATTCAAATATTAATTATACTATTATTTAATTTACAGCTCACCGATTCATGTTATAAGTGTGATTAGTGAAAATACATTCGCGACAGGAGATGACGATGGAACGATAAAATGTAGGTATTTTCTTATACTAAAAGTATATACCCGAGTAAAAAAGATTTTATATAATTAGATAGGATTATATATAATTTTGATATAATTATATATCGTCTATATATAATTAGATATAATTTATACATAATTCTATATAATTAGATACAATTGTATCTAATTAGACACAATTACATAAAATTATACAAAATTTTATGTGATTCGCCTTCTCAACTTTATACAATTATATATAATTAGATACAATTGTATAGAATTGTATCTAATTAGACACAATTGCATAAAGTTATAAAAAATTTTATGTAATTCGCCTTGACAACTTTATATAATTGTATAAAATTATATCTCATGAGATACATTTACATAGAATTCGACGGAATTCTCTTCTACGATTATAGATAATTTTATATAACAAGATACAATTATATATAATTGTTTTCGTCCTAGGCGAACGTATGGGGGTTTTTACGTGCAGACGATACTCAATCTGTAAATAATACGCGTACGCGCCAGTATCTACTAGGCTGTATAGAACTTTATACAGCCCAGGACAATGCCACGCATGCGTCACCAATCTCTATACAGCCGACTAGCTTACGTTTTAACTGTAATTTTAAAAAGCGCACCGGGCGCATGATATGCTGAAAAGACAATATAATCTCAATATTTGTAAATCAATTGTTTTAGTATAGCAGTTAAGTTCATTGATCTCAATTTTTTTAACTCGGGGAACTGTTACTTTAATATTATAAAATTGCGATTTATTAAAAAATATGTTAAAATAACTGCGTTTAAACTATTAATTACAATAAAATTACATTTTAATATTTACTAGAAATTTGAATTAATTAATTTTAACCACTAATGAATCGTGGCCCGGTTTTTGCGAGTTTCTACCTATGACTAACTCCAAGACTTTCATGTATTTTTATTGAGAGGGTTATGGCGTCGTACGCTATTTATTTACAAATTGAGTTTCCCCTGCACACAAAAACCCGCATACGTCCGCCATAGGACGAATAGTATATTACATACCTAGGCCAGTAAAATAAGAAAAGTCTCAGATCACATGTAATTGTTGGCCGAGGCGAAGCCGAGGTTGACAAACATGTGATCTGAGGCTTTACTTTTTACTGGCCAAGGTGTGTATACTATTTTTCTGCTCGACGTAGCCGGAATGTGGCAACTTTGTTTAGCGCAGCGGCCAGAAAGTTGCCACTTTCCGGCCGGAGGGCAGAAAAAAAAATGTACCCCAAGGTACATAAATAACTAATACAACTTTGTATAATTGTATAGAATTCATGGTCTTGAAAGAGATTTCTGCAATTTTATGTAAGCACAGACATTTATCTATTTTTTATAAATTTTACAGGATTCGATATATTTCAATTACTATAAGACTCTTTCTTTTTTCATCTAAGAGTCTGTTTCTCCAATGATTAATAATCTTTTAATCTATAGTATTTTGCAGATGAAATAATAGGAACTATATTAACTTATAAAAAAATTAAATTTCACAAAAATTAATACATATCTGTATCAGTTACAAAAAATTTTTAATTTTTAATACGATAATTTTTTTTTTATTCGATGTTAAAAATGTCTTTAGTCTATTAAATTGATAACACGAGTTAATAATTTTTAAAGTAACAAATTAAAATCAATATTTATCCAGGTGAAAATAATTTAGTAGGTAAAAAAAGAAAAAACTGATTATTCAATGACTAATAATTTTTAAATTTGTCATCTGCTTCTTATTAATCTGATGAATTACATGAAGTTAATTCAATAATTAATTCCCAAAAAAAAAAATAATATTTACAGTGTGGGACTTGAGACAGTCAGGAAAACTTCCAATATTTACAGTCAAAGGAGAGGGAAGTTCGGTCAACGCAATGCTAACAAATGACGAAAAGAAATACTTAGTATGTGCGATCGGTGATGGCACTATTACGACCATAAATATGCCTGCTAAAAAAGTTTACTGCCGAACATCAGAGGATGCAGAGTACGATGAGTGTAGCTGCATGGGATTGTTCAAACACAATAGTAAAATATTGACAGCAACTAATTCTGGTAAATTTTACGTCTTCGACTGGGACAAATTTGCAGAGCCTACGGATGTATTTCGTTATGTTAATAAGAAGGCAATCGCTTGCATGATACCCATTACTGATAACATAGTAATAACTGGTGATGAAGACGGAGTGTTACGGGCATTCAGCGTCTTTCCACATGAAAAATTGGGTATCGCAGGCCAGCATGGAAATTCTGTCGACGCTTTGGACATTTCTCGGGACGGATCGTTGATTGCATCTTCGTCTGATGATTCTGTTAAATTTTGGAACGTTAAGTACTTCGAGACCTTTGATATTACGAAAGTCCAAACGCAGAGAAATAAAGGGAAGAAAGTTAAGCAAGCCAAGTTCAATTTACCCAGCAGCAAGTTTGAAAATCCCTCAGATTTCTTTGATGGTTTCAAAAACGATGCTTAAAAACATTTCAATCGATTATTCTTTAATATTTTTTATGTATAAAATAAAGAAATGTAATTTAAATTACGATTTATTTAACTTAATAAACACGATCTAATCCTTCAACTTCCTTCTTCTCATCGACGGCTCCTTTGATGTCGATTGAGTTTATTCTCAAAGTTGTCAGCTGAGATCTCATCACTGCACATTTTTAATAGATAATTTTAATTAATGTATATTATATTTGATTCTGAATCAATAATTACCAAGTTATTTTGTTAAAATACTCACTGTGTAATCGCTTGAACTGTTTACGTGGTAAATAACGAAACTCGTACTTGGTATGAGAAAATGTTTTATCAACTACGGTGGCATCTACACCCACCAGCTCTCTGTTAAGTAGGGGTCGGCCTACCAAAGTGAAATCCATACCACCGACTAGTAATACTTTTTCCAACCTCAATTTGTCACCTGGATTAGGTGGCCAGTATCCTTGTATGACTATCAGGTCGTTTTCTGTTACTTTGAATTGTTTGCCAGCCAGTACTATGATAGCAAACAGTCTTGAGGTATTTTTAGATAATACTTGATTATTTATTTCTTCTATTACACCTAAAGTATGATTAAAAAGTTTAATAAAAATTTTAAATTAGAATAGTGTCAAATAAATATTAACATAAAATAAAATATAATACTTTTTTCCATTTGTTCTTCTTGTTGCGTCGGCTCTGGTATCTCCATCGGTTGACTTCTGTCTTTATATATCCATGGTAGTGATAATTTTCGTACAGGTTTTTTAGGAAGATTATTAAACAACCCCCGGTATCCACCAACTAAAAATACAAATAATTAATATATTTATAAATAAATATCAATTTATTAACAAAAATATAATGTGAATTTTGGTGTTCTTCAAGGCTCTTTATCTAGGCCCTATACTTTTTAACATCTTTATTAATGACATAGCTGACAACCTGGAATTCGATTACCTACTTTATGCTGATGACATGAAAATATTCAGAAAAATAAACAGCGTTCAAGGAATAATGATGATATTTACAGTCAGTACAGGATAAATAGTCTACAGAGTCGTAGACAGTGTGCTGACTTAATCTATTTTTACAAAACAATCAATGGATGTATCGATTCCCCTGAAATCTTGGGACAGTTCAGTTTCATCTGCTCGAGACCAGATCTGAGATCACGAAGGCTACTGTATTCAATAACAATAACAACAAAAAACTACGAGTGTTATGGAGCAATAAACAGGATTGCAAATTTAGATAATAATCATTGTACTGAGTTAGATTACTTTGGTGGTTCACTTTCCTCTTTTACATCTAATGAAAAAAACTTGTTACTACTCTATTAGTCTGCATTAGTCTGATAAAAATGATGCTATCTAATCATCTAATCATTTAATATTGTGATAAAAACTTTATATGTATACAGCCGATCGGCGTTTATTCTATTTGAAATAAATAAATAAATAAATAAAAATGATGATACTGAAATTAATTAATACCGAATATAGAAATTTTTTTTTAATGAATTACTTGGAAAGTAATCTTAAAAAATTTGTTTTTATTTTGAAAAATATATGTGGAATTTTTTTTAAATAAATTATTTATTGAAAAAACCCGATAAATTCTAAAATTCCTGAGATAGTTTCAGTATCATACAAACATGTCAGTTCACAGAAAAAATATAAATTAAAAAAAAAATTAAATAATTACCATGTCGTACAATGCATGTATTGTTAATTGGCAATTGTTTGTTTAAACAATTGTTAATAACATTAAAAACTCGTGGTAACCTGATAAACAACGCCATTTTTATTTTTTAATCTTCTGTCTTTTTTTATACTGATTTTACTGAACCTCACCGTTCAATTCTTATGAAATCAAAAGAATTTTATCTTCAGCAATCAATTATTTAACAAAAATTATTTTGTTGTACAATTAGTTAATTAATGATTTATTTATCAAACAGTATTTTTATTATTTTTTTTTTATTTTTTTTCTACTCCTTTTCAACTTTCAACTGATCAACTGAAAATTTAAATTCATGAAAATGCGTCAAGTATTTAAGGTTTTGTCGCTCGATTTCTACTGTCGCGCTGTGGAAACTTTAATGTACTATAGATACTCTTTTTCGTCCACACTTTCGTAAGATAGGTATGCTATTTTTTATATGTTAAATAAATCTTCAAACATCACTGTAATTATAAATTAATGAAATAATTTTGCACACCCCCATAAATTTTCGTAAGCTAATTTACAAAAATTTTGCGATATTTTTAATGATTGCAAATTCTTCTGTTAAATAGTGACATTCTTATTTTTTAACCTCAATGTGCAGTTGTTTACATGCCTAAGATAAATATGTATCTAACAATTTACGATTAAACATTTGTTAATAACAATAGTGTCAACAATAATTCTAATCATGTTTCGTTTTTATTAAATTAATTATTATAAATTATTTCATTTTTTGGATAAATTTTTTTGACGTTGAAAATTTTCAAAATATTGTCTGACATCAATGACAAAATTTTTTTTTTCGTATATTTTTAGAGAGTGATTAATAATATTTTTATTTATTTACAGGACAGCCATGGCCAAAACATCCGACAAAAAAGGGAAAAGCGCGATCAACGAAGTCGTGACGCGTGAGTACTCAATTAACCTCCACCGTCGTCTACACGGTGTTGGTTTCAAGAAACGGGCACCACGCGCCATCAAGGAAATAAGAAAATTCGCCGAAAAACAGATGGGCACACCTGATGTCCGAATCGACACCAGACTTAACAAACAATTGTGGTCCAAGGGTATCAGGTAATTGAAATAAATTTTTACAAACTTATCATGTGTATTTGTGATTAATATTTCATTAAGGGCCAGTTTTTTAATCCGAGATGAAATTTTATCCACTGTTAAAATAAATCTATATATTTCATGTTTATAAATATACTTGCAATAATAATTTTATCCTAGATGAAATTTTATGAAAATTAATTTAGCAGATATTATATAATTTCAAGAATTTTTTTAACAAATAAATTTTCTCAAATAAAATGAGAAAAAATATTGACATTTAAAAAATTAGAAAAATAACAAATCCAATTTTTTAAAAATGATGATTTTTTGGAGAAAATTTTTTTTTAAAGAAAATTAAAAAATTGTCAAGCGACTGCTAACTTTAATAATTTCATTAAAATTTTTTCTCGGATTGAAAAACTGACCCTAAGTTATTTATTTGAAATTGAAGTATGAGTCTTGTTTAAATTTCAAGTTATAAACATACAGAATTAATTTACTTTAACATGCAATTATCTTAAAGACTAATACAAAGATTTTTTAAATTTATAGATAAATCTAAGTCATTAAAATTGAAAAAGAATTATTCAAATTTTTAAATAGTTTTTCTTTACTATTAAAATTGAAATGGTTAATTACGAATTATATTGAATTATTCATAACTTATCATTTTCTATGTTGTTACTGTATTGTAAATTATATTAATAACTTACAATTTTCTACATTCTTATATTACACTGTCAGAGGTTTATAAATGATAAGTCTAGGTGATATTAATATTTTAACATTATCTCATATTAATGTTTTAAAAAAAAAAACGTCGAAATACTTTTATTCTTTTACTATTCTCAGATTATATATTAATTAATAAAATCATAATATTTCAGAAACGTTCCATTCCGAGTACGTGTACGCTTGAGCCGAAGACGTAACGACGACGAGGACTCAGCCAACAAATTGTACACCCTGGTCACTTACATACCAGTAGCGACATTCAAAGGGCTCCAAACCGAAAATGTCGATGCAAGCCAAGATTAATTTATCATTGTTTTACACATTAAAAAGATAATAAAGGAAAAAAAATAATAAATTATTCTCTAATAATTTATTATTATCAACCTCCCAGAGGACCATTTTTTCCCAATATTTTTCCCACCTATAAAAATATGAACACATACATATGCGTCCTAAATACGTCACTTTAAAATCAAATCAAATCAATTTAATGCTAAATTAAATCCGTAAAATCCGACGATTGTGGAATTACGTAAGTTAATTATCCTCTAATACAATAAGCTAATTAATTTATATGGGTATCAATTGTTAAAGATGTATAAATGGTTCAGGTTTTCAATAATCAATGAAGACGATAGACGAAAGGTAAAAATTTAAATATCTCTTGATAGTTTCTCCGTTACTTATTGGATTATTACGATCATATCTATGATCTCTAATTACGGTATTTCTATTTTATTTAATTAATATTCTCTTATTACTAAGCCCTTTGTCAATCATTCTTTTTATATACCTCAGTATTTAAATTTCGGGTACCTCTGCGCTCTGAAATCCGAAACTTGATTATCAAAAATTTATAATATAGAATCACCAAGTCACGTCAATGTCCTAAAATCAAGTTATTATTCCAACTTCCAATATATTTTAAAATAATAAATTTTTAACAATAATATAAATCCGTCTAAATAATTTATGACTTTAAATTTAAGAAGAAAAATTCAAATCAATAAATCACAGGTACTAAAATTTTATGTTTTAAATTTAATATTTTCGCAATTTGAAGATTTTTTTTTATCTAAAGGTCAATTGAATAATAAAAAAAAAAAAAAAAAAAAAAAAAAAAAAAGTTGCGTACTCAACAACAAGAAAGAATAAGATGGATAGATACAAAGTTTAAGTGATCGGGTGCTCATCCTGGCGTTGAGATATTAAATTGTATTCCTGCGAATTGTCGAGATCCCTCGGGGATTGCGCCGACCAATATTTAATCAACTTTACTATAGAATATACTAGAGAATATTATTCTCCGGACAAATCAAGGACATATGTAGCTTGTAGCTGTGGCGGGTATGTTATACTATGTAAAAGTTGATAAATTTTTGTACATATGTACCTATGTGTGCAAAGAGACTTATGTAAGGATCGCGTGCACATGCGTGACGTCCTTACAATCATGTATGATGATACATATGTAATAAACGAACGAGAGAGATGGGGTAAGGATAGGGAATAGGGAGAAAATTTTAGCCTGAGAGCAATAGACGCCAGCGTGTGCCACACGTCGAAAACTCTACTATAACAATCCCTTGGGATGCCTCTGGAAAAAGAGCCTTTTTCAGCTTGCTCGTGAGAACAAGTGCCATTGTATTTTCAATAACCTGAAATTACTTATTGTAAGTACTCATGATTTTTTTTTCTTTTTTTTTTTTTTTATAAGTATATTCGTTTTTAATTCTTATAAATTCATATTTCATTTTAGATTTTCAATAGTAATTCTGACTTACAGAAGATTCACAATTTATTTGTATTTCTTCCCAATAAAAAAATTCTCTATTTAATGTAACTTACATTATCATAGTTTAGATCATTTTTACATCAAATGATTTATATCACTTTTTCTTTTATTTTTAGATAGAAATTGTAAAAGAATATAAGCCCAACAGAGAAGGTTGAAAAAGAAAATAGTAAAAATTTAATAAGAAATAAATTATTTTTAAAATAATTCTATTGTTCTAATTTCGGAAATAAAGGAAATGAAGAAATTTATAAAAAAATTTTTATCAAAGAAGAAAATAGTTTTATTAGGTAAAAATTTATTCACAACTCTAAAAAATCTTATCAATATCAATATATTTTCTTGGATTTTCAGAAAATTTGTCTATTGATATTGATAATAATAACTCTGTTGAAAAAAGTAATTTTTTATCAACATTGAAAGTTAATTTCTAAAAAGTATTTTATTATATGTCTGGTAATAAATTTATCGAATATTTAATGAAGTTATGTAGTTTTAAATACTTCACCATGTAAAAATACAAAAGCCGGTTTAAATAAAAAATCTCAGGTTTAATTTATAAAAATAATTGCGAAAATGTTCTTAAAATTAACAAAATTTTATAATTTTATTAATATAATTTTGTGTTTAATGTACTAAAGTTTGAATTTTTACTTCAATGGATTCTTCTCTTGAATTTTTGCCACTATGTTATTAAATATATAATAAAATGATTTTGAAACTATTAATATAAATAGATTTTCAACTCACATGATAATATCGAAATATTACTATGCATGAATTATAAATTTATTTTCATATTATCGATACTTAATTTTAAATTACCAAAATTTTTTAACAGTGTACATAATTTCCTAATTTAATAAAAAATAAAAAACAACAAAATTAATTGCTTATAATAATTAATAAAACAAATAAATCAGTATATTTTAGTTGAATAATTCTCTGTGTAAAATTCAGTAATAATCTAAAAAAGCGAATGAGATTCGCATGTAGTTGACTCGTATTATTGAGCACTAAATCAACAAGCCGCAAAATGTCGATTCGATCGCGTATTCCTGGTCGCGAATATTTCGCAGCATTGTGATACGTGCGCATACAGTGTGTAGCAGAATAAAAAATAGATAAGAGAGATAACTATAGAAGCGGGCTTGTATTGCCAGTACGTATACGCAATTACGCATAGCGAATAACGAATTGGAGTTTGGAGCGAGAGAGACGTAAAAAGTAGAAATAAAGCTCTATAGCATTCCACGGTTCGCGGGTCGTAAAATCGCGAGCACCGAGCACATTAGGCATCATCACAGGCGATAGCGTCCGTTTTAACACCGACACCCTCAAACCGTCCGCACATCGTCCCGTTTCTGTTCATGCACCAGCGAAAATTGTTAAAACAGCCAGCAGTGCTGGTGATGGTGAAGAGGAAGGGAAACAGTGAATGTGGACGAGAACGAGGAGCTGAACAGAGAGGTGATTATAATGCGGTGTTAGAGTGAGTAAAAGTTATCTTTCCCAGGAGTAAGAGAGAATAAAGAGCTGGAGAAGAGAACGTCGGGGATTTAAAAAGGGTGGCGGATGCTGGAAAACAAATACACCCTTAGCAGTCTCGATTCTCTTCGGGGGCGTCGATTTAGTTCGGGAATCTAGATAGGAGGGAAGTGCCGGGATGTAAAACTCACCCCTAGGATAAAATACGGGAGGGTTTTAATCCGCCAATAACCGGCGAGAGTTATCCTGGTGTTCGGGGGCCATCTCGATGTGCGGGAAAACCACGCCCCTGCGCGCAACCCTCGCTCGTCATCGGTTCTCTGCTCTACTCTGCTCGGTGGATTTCTTCTCTGGATCTCTTCTTCTATCTTCCGTCCGCCATCCTCCATTCTCCATCCACCGTAGGTTATTGAATTAAGCTTATCATTTGATTTTGAGGAGAGCCACCAGTCGGTTCTCTCGGTGCTCTTAAGCACCACCAAAAACTTTTATATCGTCGGGATAATCGCAATAATTTGATATCGCACTTGATACGATTATATCGTAAGCAGCACCCCGCGGCTTACACACTGATACCGCGGTCTGTCTCAAGTTTGCTCATTTTGTCAGGGTGGGGAACCTTTAAGATTACTGTAGGAGCTCGCTAATAATCGCTTCTTATATTTTGTTTGTTTGTTTGTTTACTTTTTTTTTTTTTTTTTTTTTTTATTTTTATTTTGGTTAGTCTAGACTTTTTTTAATTAGAGCTGGGGGTGGTATTTGTGGTGATTTTTTTATACAAATTTCAGAGTGGATGTGAATAATTTCACGGTAAAAAATTATTTGTGAAATACGTGGTTTATATTTAAGTGTTTTATGACACACTGAAATGTTAATTTGGAAAATTTGGAATGTTAATGTGTAAACGTTTTATTTAAATTATTAATGACAAAATTTATACATTTTAAAAGTCTATTTAATTGATCATTAGTTTTGAAAATTTTAAGTAAAGAAATGATTTTTGCTTATTTATAAAAAATAATATTTGCTTAAGATAATTTTTTTTGTTTAAAGAAACAAATTGATAATATTTCTATTTTAAATTCACTAGTTTATATGAAAAATGGCTTTCTTTTAAATGTTATCTTATAAATTGTAACTTTTATTAATAATTTCAATTTAAAATTTTTATAATTATTCAAAAAATTAAAAATTCCTAATGTAAGACCTGAATAATTACAAAAAATAGTCGATTTTAGACTTATTATTTTTTTTATCTTAAATTAAAGTATCACGTGGACGGAAATTTGAAAGTTGAAAAATTAAAAAATATCAGAATTAAAAAAAAATTTTTTTTTGTCATAAAAAATTTTAATAACACTTGAAAAATAATACAACAATCTTACAAAAGCAAACAAGTCACGTGTCTAACATGGGGCTGTTATTTTATTAATTTAGAGATTGTCTAGTCTTGCGCCAAGTATACGTTCAAACACATGTGTGTATAATCGGACATGTGCGTTATTTAGTTTTTACTTATATTGAAAATTAATGATTAATTAATTAGAAAAACCAAATATATTTCAGCAAGAGACAAATTTTAATTTATTAATTTGCCAAAAGAAAATCAACGATCATAGATTTGAATAAAAAAAATTAATGATGAATGTTTTGAACTATATTTTATTAATTATTTTAATTAATTTTGATGCAAATAACATTTTACTGTGTTGTGAAAAAAAAAAAAACAAATTTTTAAGTTAATTCCTAACAAAAATTTTTTTTGTGTAGGTGATTTCTTCCCGGACGACTATTAGCCTTTTTTTTTATTCTAAACAAAGTGTGAAATTACAATTTAAAAAAAAAATTTTTTTCAAGATCAACTTGAAATATTAAAAAGTATAAAATTTCGTCTGACAAAAAACTTTTCATACTACTGAAAAAAATATCAGAGTGAGAAACTATTAAAAAAGTAACTAGAAGATTGATTGAAAATAAAAAATTAAAAAGAAGACATGTGGAAAAATAACTAGTACTTAATACAAGGTGATAATTAAGTGAAATAAATAATTAAAAAGTTTGTGAATAAATAATAAATAATAAAGAAATAAAAGTGTTAAAAATTGAAGGTTAATAATTTTTGTCAGGATGGATTATTCGTATTTGAACCAAGCGGCGGCAGCGGCGGCCGCCGGATTCGAAGCTTCAAGTTGTGCATTGGCGAGCGACATGCAGTGTGGATACGGAGATTTAGGATCTTGTTCGCAAATGAGCCAAGCGGCATACCGATATACGGCCGCGAGAGCCGCAGGGTATCCGGGAAATTCCGCGGGAGGAGGCGCTACCAGCGGGCCCACGCTTGGTGGCCACCATGCAAGTCACCCTCATGCCCATGCCCACCATGCGGCCCATGCTACCCCCTGCTCGGTAATGGCCGCAAGAACTCAAGATGTTCATCGACATGCTGCTTCTATATTTAATCAGTCTATTAATCTTCAAAGTAAGTTTTATCATTATTATTTGTAGGAATAATTATTTTTTATTTTTAACCATTCATTGCAATTATATAAAGTTAATTTTTATTAATTGTTCATTGGGGAAGCTTTTTTTTCTATTCCTAAAGAAATTTAGTTGAAGTATTTTAGATAAATTTTTTATTTTAATTTTACGAAGGAAGTTAAAAATTTTTTTTAATAATTTAAGAAAATATGAGCAGAATGCCGAAAATTAAGAACTATAGTTGAAGAAATTTTGACTCAATGGATTTTTGTAGTTTTAATCATAAAATACATAGTTCGAGTAATTTAGAAATAAATTAAAAAAATAATATTGCTATCACAGGAGCAAATACCAACAGTTTAATTAAAAATATTACGGAACAAATGTATAGAGAAAAATTTAAGCCGAATCTTTGTGAAATTACCAAATTCAACTAGAAATTTTATACATTTTGTGATCAAAATTTGCCCGTCAAAAATTTTCCATAGTCTCTTACTATTATTATAGGTTGATTTTGAATTGAAAATTTAATATAGATCCTTTTATATATAGATTCCATTGATTATTTATGAATGATTAATTATACACATCATTAATTTTATAGATCATTCTTTGATCAATAAGTTAGAAAATTAAAATGAATTTTTTTGAATTCAATTTTAGTAATAGATTAGTCAGTATTAGAATAATCAATCCGAAAATTATATTTTAATTTTTTAATTTATATTAAAAATTATCATTATAGAAAATGAAAAATTCTTAGTTGGTAGTTGATATTAAAAATTTAATTTTTAGGAAAATAGCAATTAAGATAAAAGAATTTTTTATCAATTAGAAAATAAAGTCCGACTTAAAGTTGCAACTTGAAAAAAAAATTTTTAATTCAATTTAAAATTAAATAATTTATGTAATAAATTTCATATAATTTTTATTAAATAAATATATTGTAAATTAACTTTTATCAAAGTAAAAAAATTTTTTTTTCATGACAATAATTTCCAAAAAAGATCAAGTTTCAATAATAATATCAAAGTACTAATAATAATAAAAAAAAAAAAAACATATTAATTTAAGTATCATATTTTTGAATCTAAAAAAAGTTATAGTTTTGTCATATCAATCCAGAAAATTTCCTAAAATTAATATTCAATTACAATTACTGACCAATAATTATTCTTCTTGACAAAAGTAACGATATAAATTTAAAAAATCATTTAAAAAAAAAATTGTAGAGAATAAATAAGAAACAAGTGATAAATATCATAAACAAGTAGAACAAGCAAATAAACAGTCAGACGATTAGCGTCAAACCGTCAGCGGTTTGGCCGGAATACGACGACAAGATGGCACTGAAAATCAATGTATGTTCCTCTGGTGTGCTCACTCATTGCTATGGTTACATCCCCTCTTATATTTAGTCATATGAGTCTAATTTATTCACAATGGTCTTATGATCTTCCAATTACTTTTTATCTTCATTCAATTAATTCAATTTTAAATCATTGAATACTTTCAATAACTATACGGTAAAAAAAAATTTGTATGACAAATTACAATTGTAACATTGTAATCTAGGACCTAACTTTCAATAGCTCACTTTAAGGTAGTTATCATGATACAATATTGTCAAAAAATTAGAGATTATACGTACCGCAAAAGTATCTGAGCTTGTAGCTTAAGTAATCCATAATTTTTACGCAAGACTGTCCTCGTGGAGACGTAACCCATACAGTATTTCTATTCGACTCCGTAGATATAAACTTTTTCATAAATTGTTGAACTTTAATCTATTATTTATTAAACTTTTTTTTAAACTCACAACAAATACATTAGAAGATGTCAGTTTTTTGAAAGTTTCTAACAGTTTTTTAGGTAGATTTCATAGAAATCAATCTGTTGCATTGGTCCTCATGTCGGAATTTACTTGGAATTTTGTTGTAATATCACTTAACTAGTCGAGTAAAGCTAAAAAATAACGTTAGTTAAAAAATTTATATATGTATATGTAATATAACGCGGGATGTTGCCGCGATTGTGTCTACAGTTCTTGACGGATCTAGATGAAATTTGTTACACATATTCTTTGGATAATAATTTTGAATGAGTTCGAAGATGAGCGAAATCCATCGATAAGTTTAGAAATGGCAGCTCTTCAAAATTATCAAAATAGTGAAAATCACGTTTTTAGTGACTTCATTAATGTGTAACTTTTGGTTGAAAAGAGATAGCTAATTTTTGTTGAATTCATGTGAAAGCTCATGAAATTGCCTTTAATTTGACATATATAACATTGACATTTTGACCATTTTTAATTATTTTATCAAGGTTAAGAGTTTGACTGAACCATTTTCAGGCAATGTGTAGTGCAGCCGACGTATGAATGTTATTCTGTCGAGAATTCATAACAGATCCCAATGAAATTTAGTATACAAATTCATTTGACAATTAGCTTGCATGAGCCTTAAAATCAGCGAAATACTTCGATTAGTTCAGAAATAGTAGTCTCTAAACTTGAAATAGTAAAATTTTCTCAAAATGATCAAAATAGGAGAAATTACGTTTTCGGTGACTTCATTTATGTATAACTTTTAATAGCAAAAAGATAGCTGATTTTTAATAAATTTACGTGAAAACTCATAAAAACACTTCTAATTTGACGTATATAACGCTAACTTTTCGACCATTATTAATTATTTTATCAAAGTTAAGAGTTCAATTGAACCATTTTCAGGCAATGTGTAATACAACCTATCCATGTCAAACGAAAGTTATTGATACAAGACGATAATTCACATTCTATGAAATCTACCTTTCATTTCGGGTATGGCCGATGGACGTCTTTTTTTTATTACTAAAAAACTGGTACAGAACTGCAGAGAGCGTATGCAATCAATGTTAAATATCCAATTTTTAATTGAATTCATCTCGGGTTATAGGTGGTCAATCGATTTTAAATTTTAAGGGTAATTGTATCACCATGTCCTTAATAAGTATACACAAATTTAGAATTTTCTGACGTCATGCCTTAACCACTACAACTGCCTTAATATTTTAACATTTAAAAATTTACGATGTTACATCATAAAATACCTATAAAAGTGGCAAATATCTGAATTTTTACGATATAACATCGTAAATTTAAAAATATCAAATTATCAAAGTGAAGATATTGAAAATCTGGCACTGGATTACGATGTTACAATTCAGAGTTTATACAACAAAATTAACACTAATTTATTATTCACAGAAATCCTTCAACGGAAATTGGAAATTTAAAATTCGAAGTTGGAAAAAGATCTTTTAAAATCAGTAATATTTTATCACTTTATCGAGTACATTTAAAATTATAAAAAATTTATTGAAATAAGATATATTCTTGAGTGACCTGATAAATATTTTAAAAAAATATTGAAAGCTACTACAGTTAAAAAATATTTGAAAAAAATTTTGCATGATTAAAATGTAATTTCTCAATTTGTTATAAATTTTTATATGAAATTTATCTGCTAAATATTTTGTATCTTTTTATCACCTTTTATCGAGTATAAATACAGTAATGCATCAATAAAATTTCGATATTCATTCCGATTTATAATATTGTTACTCAACGACACAAACCTCACATAAAAAATAAGCAATAACAACATCATCAATAAACGTTCAGTATTTTTCGAGCATTGTATTTTTCGATAAAAAATTATATTATTTTTAGTTATTGTTAAGAAAAACAATTTTAAATGATTCAATCCTTGCAAAGTGTATATTTATAAAGTAGCCAACTTAAATCATTTTTAATTGTTTTAAACTGTTTTTCAATTACTTTAAATTGTTTTTCTTAATAAGATAGAAATTAATTAATGAATTAATTTACCTACTGATTTATAATTAGAGAAGTAATCGACCATATAAAATAACTTTATTTCTAAATTAAAAAAAAATTGGAAACTATTGAATTAAATATACAGAAAAATTTTGATATTAATTAATTAAAATATAGTTGAAATATTTGAAAAAAAAAATTTTAATAGTAATATAAAGATTATCTGACTTTAGGTGGTCTTGGGTACAAAGCATACTCGGCTCATGACGGATTAGCTGAGAAAAGAAAACAGCGACGGATAAGAACGACATTTACATCAGCGCAGCTGAAAGAACTGGAACGCGCGTTTCAAGAAACACATTATCCTGACATTTATACGAGAGAAGAAATTGCCATGAAGATTGACCTTACGGAAGCCAGAGTACAGGTGAGCACTAATAATTATTAAATCATTTAAGGGGTTATACACACTTGGAATAAAAAAAAATCAATTTTTTTTTTGTAATATACGTATCATTAGGTAATATATACACAGAAAATTTAATGTCAATCTGACGGGTGTATTTTAAAAGTTACATGCATATATGAAAACCCTAATCGGCGCGTGTCACAAAAAAAGGGGCTGAGGTCGACAATTTTAAACACCTTTTTCTCAAAACTGTCTTCAAAGTCGGTGAGGAAAATTTATTGAACTTGATAACAACAATCAGTCTCTAATTTTTACACAATTGATTATTTTTTTGTCAAACCGCTATTTCATTAAAAATAAATATTTTTATAATTCTTTCAACTAATCACTAAATAATATATATCTCACATTGGTGGAATTTTTTTGGATTTTAAAATTTCAATGATTCAAAGTGAAGATTTCGTCCCCACCGCATGTAACCTTTTTTAAAGGACCTTTTTTAAGATCATTTTCAGGAGATAAAAAAATCATTGTTTGCAAAAAAAAGGAACTTATTAATAAAGTTAAAAGTCACTAATACATGTTTATCCATTTTCATATCAATTAATTAAAAAGCCTCTTCAGAATAAATGATTGAAATATCGGTTTTTTTTCGCCCTCTTAGGACGTATAACCAACTCCGTAAATTATTTAAAAATACAATTATTAATTGTAATAATTTTTAATTATTGAGTATTAAAAAATGTATACATTTTTCAAAAGTAACTGAAGAAGGATAAGTTTTTTGTAAGATTGAAGATCTATTTCTGAGATGTCTGATGGAATTAAATTACCCTCGGCTAGTACTCATGGACAGGTAGTGTCTTGTGATCTGATGGATTACATTGCCCGTTGATCTTGACAGATTATCTTGCCCTACAAGACTAGCTACGTTGTAGTTAAAGCCTAAAAATAATAATAATAATAATAAAATAAAAGCCGTGACATACGTTATTTAACATTAAGGCTGTTTCTTGATTATAATTATAATTAATCAGCAAATTTAGAAACGGTAAAAAGTAGTTATTGAGGTAAAAGAAGATATATATTTAAACAATTTTTCACGAATGTAAAATTTGAAAATTGATAGGAGTGATGTATGTAGGATCCATTAACGAGGCTGAATTGGGTATAAATCAATTAGACGAGTGTCACGGCTAGGTCCGTGACTATAACTACCGGTAGACAGGATAGGAGATAAATGAGAGGAGGAAATGCACGAGTGAGTTTAATATTCCGTCGGTAGTATGATCCTCGTCATGCAATATAGCTGAAGCTCACTCACTCATTTCAATATGTTTTACCTCATTGTTATTATTATCATTATTATTATTATTATTATTACAAACAGTGAATTTGGATTTGTGGAGGTTAGGGGTATAGAGGAGCGATAGGTGAAAGACGATAGACGAGTCACCCGGTTCTTGATAATCTCATTAAAAACGTCAACCAGACAGAACCTTAAAATTAGATCCCTAGTGATGCATACATCATTAAGAGTTCTGGTCCTTTTATCTCAATATATGTCTATACTTCCATTCACATAATTATTCTCAGGCTTCAATAATAATAATTATAAAAATAATAATAGAGGAGAGAGGGGAACAAGTCGGGGTACCCCAAAAATTTTATATAAAAATAATTTTTTTATTACTTTAAAAAATTGAAAAAAAATTTTTTTTTTATTAAATATACATATTATTATTAGATCTACACAATATAAAAAATTTTGGCAATACATAAGTTTATATAGTTTTATTAATGAATATTTCAGAAAAAAAATTTACAAATTTTCTAATGCAAAATTTACATTTTTTCATAAAAATTTAACAGTTTTTCTACCTGCTTAATTTACATTTTTTATAACGTAAAACTTACATTATTGCAATGTAAAATTTCCATTTTCAGGTTGACACTTTTTAAAATGTAAATTTTACAGTTACGCCTTGACAGGAGTGAAACTGTAAATTTAACACTTTTAACTCCACAAAATTTTTTTGTCAGCTTTATACTTTTGAATTATAACTTTATTGATCACACACTGGCCACTTCGGGGAGTATTTTTACATCAAAATATTTTACAGTATATTAATCGAATTATTGATAAAAAATGTTATTCTTTCAAACTTTATTTCATTTTTTGTCTTCACTTTTTGAGGGCGAAATTCTTTTTGTCCCCGAAAAAATAAAAAAAATTTTTTTGGCAGTAAAAATTGAAGTAAAAGTTCAAGTTTAAACATTGAAATTCAGTTATACGTACAGACAAAGTTTTTCATAAAAATCTTTTAAATTTTAGGAAAATAATACATACTATTTAAAAAAATCACAAAGATAAACGTCTAAACATTCTAACAATAATTTAAGTTTAGAATAGCAAAGATATTTGTACTTGATTATTATGAAAACTGACATTAGGCACAACCACATCAGATTATTAGCGCCGTATTATAAATTTTCTAGTACTTGCGGTCTTACTATTATTCTCCTTGCGCTAGTGTAAGTAAAGTACTTATGGACACCTTTACACTACACATACCAAAGACCAGCACTAGACTATACATGAAAGCTGCTCACTGGCGATCCAACTCACGTCCCAAATACATTTCGTTTAATTTACATGACTAAACTACAACTTAATCCCACAGTAAATTCAAACATCTCTTTAGTTTTTAATAATCATTCATTTCAAAATCGACTTTATTTATAAAGTCTTCTGTCACTTTAATTATTCATGTTATTTCCTGGATTAAATCTTTTATCCTTTAGTTTGTATAAAACCGACCACTTAGACAGGAAACAATGATATTATTATAATTATTTCTTGATAAATTTAATTCATTATTTTGAGTGAAATTTAATTTAAAAAAAAAAGTCATTCATTTTCAGTTAAGAAAGATTGAATGAAATTAATTAATTAAAACCGTCGATAAGCGTGAATATTTTATTAATAATCTAAATGTCATTTTCGATTGAGAATATTTATTTTTAAGAATTTGTATCAATTGTATCTTTAATTATTCATTTAATTACTTAAGTTTATCAATGAAATTTTATTATTATTATTATTATTATTTTTATTAATACACTGTTAAAAATGAGGAGTGAAGTTTGGCTTCTATCACTAGGTGTATTGGTGTGAAGAAATAAAACACTGCGTACGAAGTAAATTTTGAGTTTTTCTTGTCAGCGGAGTGAATATTAATTTTGATTCGAAAAAAAAAAATTGCGTAGGCCAAATTACTAATAAATACTTTATAAAATTTATTCTAAGTTGAAATTTGTGAATATTAACTATATTTTTCTAAAAAATTTGACCCTGAAACATTGAAATAATTAATGTAGGGGAAGGGGGGGGCAAAGTGGGCCACCCTAAAATTCAGAAGGACTCAAAATTTTCGGGGCAAAGTGGGTCCCCTGAAATTTTTTATATAAAAGGTGAATAATAAATCATTTATACTTTTGATAGTGATTAAAAGTGGTTTTTGTCAAAAAAATTGTCATTGATTCTAACAAGTAAGAAAAATAAATAAAAAGAATGGTTCGTCAAATTTTGCCATATTGCTTTTTCATAAAGAGTGATGAGAAACAAAGACTAAAAGAAAAGAAATAAGTCAATACACAGTAAAAAATATTGTGTTAAATACGGTCCACACAAAATTAGTGTTGAAATTCAACACAGTTTTATGTTAAAATGACACAAACTTTGTGTTAAATTTTAACACTAATTTTGTGTTGACAGTATTTAACACAGAAATTGTGTTGATTTTACACAATATTTTTTACTTTGTAGGTTTATTCGCAGTGAAGTTACACGCTTTTTCATATTAAAAAATAGCAGATTATTGATGGAATGATTTTATTAAATTTTTTTTTAAGTATAGCTTCGCTGAAAGTTGACCTTTGAAAATTTTTTGGTATTTCTTCTTTTTGGAAAATACATTTGAAAACAAAAATTTTCTATATGATACGTTTCTGGAAGATCAATTTTTAAAAAAGTGGCTATTTGAGAACAAAAAAGCTGATTATTTTTAAATTCATTCTTTCTTGAGTTAAGTAAAAAAATTTCAAAATATCCTAAAACCATTTTTTGGTTGTGTAGGAAAGGACAAAAATTTTTCAGCCAAATCAAAAAGGGTCGAGTTCAATAGTGATCAATTTGACAAATAAAATACCCCGTATTTTCTGTAATTCTCCTAATTTTTTCAAAGAAGTAATTTGTTAAAGACGTAATGATATATAATGAAAGAACAACAGTTTTGTTTGGAAGTGATCGTAGATAAAAATTAAAAACTACAAAAATTTAAGAAGTTAATATCTCCTGAAATATTGATGTTACACAGAAAAAAAAGTCATCTTGAGTCAAGTAATATTTACTTGATCCAAGTATATTCAAAAATTTTTTTCTTGTTTTGGTCAATCTTGGTTTAAGCAAATATTCCCTAGTTCCAACATGCTTACTAACTTAAGTGAAGAAAAAAACCTCTTAATCCAAGTAAATCATTCTCTTGGTTTTTGAACTTGCTTGATATACACACGGGCGCATCGAGGCCCGAGTAGGACAGCAGCCGCGCGGAAACCCATTTTCAACATTAAATAAAAATTATTGTTTATGGAGCTAGAGTTCCGGGAGCCGAGACTTTTTTTCAGAAATTTCCTCCTCTTTAAGGATCTTTTTTCTGATTGTCGATATCACTTATAGTTATTGAGTTATTAACCCAACAAATTTCTAACCGTGTACTTTGTATGAGTCGAGCAAATACTTGTATATATACAAATATTTTCGTCACTACACACTTAACTGTAAATCAGTAATATAATGGGAAATCAGCAAGTTAAAAATTAATCAAAATTGTCTAATTAAATGAACACAAAAAATAAAAATCATGCATAAGGTTATTTTTTTAAATTTAATTCTTTATTAAAAAAATCTCGGTTTAGTTCCAAAAAATCACGTCGCCAACGTTGGCGCTACTTTCCAAACCAAGAGAAAGATTTACTTG